GGAAAAGTGGAATAAGAAAGAAGTGTACAGAGTTATCAAGTCAAGACTCAAAGAGCTTCATCTGATAGGGATTTCCCATAATGATATTAGACTAGGCAACATTCATGTTTCTGTTTCAGGTAAGATTTCTTTGATAGATTTTGGATTATCGGACTGCACAAATAATGAAGAACACAAGAAGAATGATTTTGAGACTCTTGACTACATATTGAGAACAAATGGTTCTAATGAAAGTTATAAGCATGCCAATCGAGTTAATGCTAAAAGCGAAGCTATACTTGCTGATAGAGTAGACGAAGATGGCAAATATGGAAATGATAGTAAATCTTCTAGTGAAGAAGTATTTGATGAAGGGAGTTCAGGAACTTTTGGTACCCAAATAACGATAGAAGATATTGCTTCAAAATCATCACAAAGATAATGTATACCTACAAGCTATTTTTTATCGTATTCATTTGAATCTTTTGATATTTGCCAGGTATTATTTTACCAAAGATTCGACAAAATTGTTGTGCTTGTTTTTCATTCTCAATATAGGCATTGACACACCTGGAGCTTGCNTAATGCCTTACAACTCTCACTCTCATTTTTCAACTCCCTAGCACTTCCACACTTTCTCTGTTAACTATTTATTAGCTAGAAATGACTTAATACATAACTTGCTTGCATAAAACTCGTAATTGCTGGTCTATGAGTTGAGTAAGATACCTGTATCAGTAATAGAAAGGCTAGAGTGATATCACCACCCCAATTACATTCTGACCCTAGAAATTTTTCAAAATTTGCGGCGCCACCAGCCTCTAATAATTGCTAGAATAACCCCACCCCCTCGAACAAGACTTGAAGATATAACATCAATTAATACAATTCCGGGAACAACACTTAATGAACCAATTTTCGGGCATTTTTTCATCGTACTTCATTTACTCCCATGAGGATTGTTGAAATAGCTTGTCCAATTTGGCTGTTTTTAAGTCTTCCATTATGCCTCCATCATNCCCTTGACTGACTGCTTGAAGTACCCACCCCAAGAATCTATTTAATTCTAAAAGATAGAGATATTGAAGCCACCATTTTGTTAGCTTTGTTTAATGTCTTCGAAACCAATATCCATATTTCCATCTTCAATGAACGTTTATTTGAAGTAGAAATGTAGAAATTTCAATGTTATTGGCAAGTTTGTTGCCATAGAAAGCTAACTATGTTGGTTTTCCAAAATCATTTCCAATAACATATAGCAGAGAATTTGGTGAGCGTGAGATTAGAATACACTATTACTTTCTCCATTTGTTAATACTTTAGAAATTGTATGAGGAGAATATATCCCAATCTCTAAAAGACAATTATGGGCATCATGCATCATGATGTAAAACAAGATTAACTGAGTCAATATCAAAGATTGATCTTGGTTCCTCATTCTTAAAAAAATTCGATATGCATTCCTTATCCTCAACAATTCCTTTGAAGATGATGTATTATTTTCATTAGTTACAAATAAACCAAAATGAGAAGCACATCAATGAAAAAGTTTTCAAAGAATGCACGTTCTGAATCTTCGTAGCTAAAATTACTATTATTAGAAATATTTCCACTCAATTCGTTTTTAGTAATAGTGCAGATTAACAATTCGGAAGCTTCAGATATCTGATCATTAATAGTGAAAATATGGTCTTTGAATGTGGATAATACCGATCTCGATATAAAACGATTCCCTAATAATTCATTAAACATTTTCATAATTGTTAACAAAGACGAAGATTTATGAATTTAGCTTTCATTGAAATTAGTAATTGAATCTTCTTAGTAATTGTTTTGATGTGAAGCTTGCAATAAATGAGATGTCCTTGATGTAAATTCTCTTAAATGTACTGCCTTTATATCAATACTATAATTATCATCTGAATTATCATTTAGNATCGATATATCATGGGTGAATAATATTAAATGTGAAATGGAATGTATACCTCTTAATAACAAGACTATTTTTGAAATCCTAAAACGGTCCAANTGATCATCAAGATTTTCTAATGAAGAAAACTCTTTAAATTCATTTCCAGCTGCAAGAAGCCCTGAATCTGATGGGTATCTTTTACTATTGGGGTACCATCCAAGGATGCTTCACCTTTCACGAATTTTTCAACTCGGAGTCTATAATCAACAGGATAGACTAGTAAAGTCAAAGGAGTAGTCAAAAAAGTAGTAACTAACGTCATAAAATAAACATTGAGTANACCCTTGAGAGATAATTCCTGCGTTCAATCCCGCCGTTAAAACAACAATTTCAACAATTCCTTTACATGACATCAAAACNCCTACAGCTAATGACTCACACCAGAGTAATTTATTAAGCTTTCCAGCAATAAACCCTCCAAGAATTTTACCTATCATTGCTAACAAATTTATACCTATAGTATAGGCCCAATCAATACCTCTATTCAATAATCCTATATTCACATTTAGTCCAGCTAAAGCGAAATAAATAGGAATTAAAACNATATGTACTAAATCTTCTAATTTCTCCGTGATTTTTATCACATAACCATTTGTCCTAGGTACAATAACTCCTACCATAAATGCCCCAAATATCGGATGCACACCAATTATATCAGTAAAAAATGCAGAAATAAAGACGCATGTTAAAATAATTAACATCAGAATTTGCGAAGGCTCTCCTGAAATCAAGTCATTAGTAAATCTCCGTAAGGAAAATTTCATAGCCAATCTAACAGGAAAACATAGAAATAAGAACCATGCTACTGTCAATAGCAAAATTTATACGGTATTCATAATTGGTTATTATGGTTTGTCGCCTTTGAGATAATTCTTCCCTNTATATCTGTCATTTTTTGAACTGCGTCTGCAAGCTGTGAGATGACAAATAAAGCACGCGGTAGAAAATAATTGGAAGTGTTATCTCAAAATGACAGCTTTCGGATAANTTAGGTCGATCAAAGAATTGAACCTTCTCCGCCTACAAATTCCAAAAAAGATAAATTGAAAAAATCTTTCCTATAGCAAAACTTATATACATGTTTTGCTCCATTTAAGAAGCTTAGACAGCTTCGTTATTT